ATATATATATATAATTACATTTTAAATATAGAATCAAGGTTTTTTAAAACGTTAACATATATATAAGATTGTTTGTATTAAGTTGATCTCTTTTACATGTATAGCTGATTAAATTGAAACGGATCGTACATTTCCTTTAGAAAAAGCAATGAATGCATACTGTATAGAAAGTACATGATAACATAGCTCTGTGCTAGATTTCATTGATATTCCTCATTGTTTCATCAGAACCCTCAGCTTCTTATTAACCCATTTCCAGGAAGTATATCCAAGAGCCATTTCAAGGCAAAGTATGACAAAAGTTTAGTAAGAATAACAGAATTAAAATTAAACCTGAATCAGAAGTGTAATCCGGTCTGCTCTGGATCAGGCTGGATCTTTGTACGTTTAAACTGCTGTTCTACTGATTATTTTGGCTGTACTATTGTCTTTACTTAAAAAGCATCTATAATGCTTTTGCATTTATTTTTTATATTAATGTGACCAGTTTTTAATGTTGGTAATCTTCACAATGTCTGCTAATGTTTTGAAGACTTTGTTTCTACATATAGATTGTATATATAGATATGTACATGAGGCTTAGCAGTCATACAGAGTGGTTGTGCTTTCATGCTCCTCTCTTTCAGTGAAAGTCCATTAGTATGCTCAAGTTAACTGAAAACAACTGGCACTCTCTTTATCTCTGTAATCATTTAGCCGGATTAACCACTGGAAGTAGACTCTATGGGACACAGATTGCTGCAGCTCTGTAATCGTTATCACAGTATTAAATATACATTTTAAAATGCAAGCAGGGTAAGTACCTGAATTTGACCCGGTATCACCCTCTTGCATTCCCTGTACAGCAGAGCTGGAGGGTAAAAGAAGGAAGCAGCCCAAGGAGCCAATCATTTCTTTTGCTGACAAGAAGCATGCTGATAGGAGGAGAAGCCAAGTGACAGAAGGATGAACTCACAACTGTGCTGCTTCTCTTTTACTGTGAACATACAGGGTGGTGCAGGTTAAAGGTAAAAATTTGAATAACCCTGCAGTGGAGCTACCCCCTCACTGCAAGGGTTAACAGCTCGTTTTTGCCTAGGGTAAAAAAACCAAAAACTTAAAGTATACTCACCTGATCCTCCAAGCCAGCCGACTCTTAGACGGTCCCTGGAGCCCCCCCTCCTCTGCAGCGGTTCAGAACGAGTGAGTATAACTTTCTTTTTGGACCCTAGGCAGAAACAAGCAGTTAACCCTTGCAGTGTGGGGGTAGCCCCATTGCAAGGCTTAATAAAATGTCTGCCCGGAGTGAGGCAGAATTATGGGGTGAGTGAAAAACACTCATCCCCATAATTCAAGCTGACCTGTGACACTGAAGGCGTGACAGGTCGGCGCTATTGATTGGGAAGTCAGTGAACACATACTGCCGATTGCTGACTTCCGATCCTCTCCCTGCAGAGACAGTCACCGCTCTCCGCAGGGATTCCCTCTCCCCTCTCCAGAGCTGACTGGAGGGATGGACAGGGGAGGGGCGGACACAGCTGGCTCTACTTCTAGAGAGGCAGAGCAAGCTGTCAATGAGGCAGTGGGGTGGATCTCAACAGTATTTTTGGGATCTATCCCAGCTGTGGCGCGGCTCTGCGTTCTCAGCATATAGCAGGCAGTAGCCTGCTATATACTGAGTTTTGGCTCACCGGAGGACATTAATATATGTCCTCCCATGACCCTGAATAGAATGATGGCCAAAAAAGGTTACCCCATAGTTTGCCTTCAGGGTGGCCTAGACTCAGAGGAAGTGGCTAACATGCTGCTGGCCATGATAAAGTCCAGACTGAAGACATCAAGAGGCACAAAAAAAGTACTGCAGAGAAAAATCTCTGGATTGGAGATGGTTTTATTTTAACTGTGATTTGACTATTCATTTCTATCTTGTTGTTATTTTTGACTGGAGTTCAGCTTCAGAGAATCCGACTCCAAACATTTTTGGTTTAAGTTTTGGACAGAGCGAGGAAGGTTTAGATTTTATTTGGAGACTGTTATCCTGTCAGGCAAGGAAGTGATGGTAAATATTTCCACAACGTGACACAGACTCCTACAAAACACTTTTTCACTGCAATGGAGAAGGGTTATATCCTCTGTCAGTATCTTCCTGTTCCAGTGATATCTTTAGAAACTTCCTAGCAGGCAGGTAAGATGCTTTTATTGTAGATTAGACACACATGACTTTTTTATAGTGGAACTCTGTTCACTCTTCAAATGTCTAAAAGGGTTCTTCGCAAAAGGGTGAAGAGTTTGGAGAAGGCAGGAGAAGTGAACAATCTAGGACAACATAGCTGAACTGGAAAGTGAGCTGAATTGGAGAATTTTTTCCAAATCAGCTATTTTGTCCAAGATTGTTCCCTTCTCCTACCTTCTCCAAACTCTTCACCCTTTAGGGAATAGCCCTGTTAGTTTCAAATTTGCCCCACATTACCACTAGATGGAGCCAAGGAGTATAAGACATTTGCAAAGCAAACAGCTCTGCAAACACTTTATAAACACATGAAGGGGGTATGCCCCTGAAATGCGTAAATGCAGCCTAAAAGCAGCCGGTGGCACGATGGTATGGTGATGTGACTGAAGGCAGCTTTTTATACGCAGTCGGAGTGGAACATTCCTTAGACACTCATCTTGTGGTCTCAAGCGTGACTGAAATTTTATAATTGTGAGTATTTATAACCGTTTTTATTATTCAAATAAAAAAAGACTTCACACAAGGAGGTGGCGCTTTATTGCTTTTGACTTTATAAACACACCCCACATAGTCTTTCCAAAATTGAAGTCACATCACAAATTGCTTTAAGGAAAACATTATAGCAACTCAGAATGTGTGCTCACTGGGGATGCACAATACATCGCCTTTAAAGTGAAGTATGTGGATTATACATTAATGAAGATAAATGTCAAAGCCCATATATTACTTAGCTGAATCATAATGTAGCAGAGCACAGGTCTCAAGGATTTTGCTTCCTTATGTACTATCACTTTGATAAAATGTGGGATAATACATATTAAGTTGACTAAGGCTGGCTATGCACTATTAGAATTGTGGCTGAATTTCTATACTCACACATTCCTATTTTCCTCAGTGCTCCTCAGCACCATCTAGGGGCATGCTGTAAAGCTTTCTCGCACAGGGCGCCTAAAGGCCTAAGGCCGGCCCTGCATCCACCCATGTATAAGCTGGGCGGAAGATTAATAAATCAGCCCCTTAGTGTTGCTAAAGCTGAAGTTTAATCTGCTTATATTTTACCTTCCCTGATTCCTCCTCCCCCTCATCAAAATGCTAATTCAATTTGTAAACAAGCCTTTCTATTTTCATTACATATTTTATTTTAGACCAAGTGATGTCATCACTAGGTTTCTGTTCTTCTCTGTGTAATGTAGGAAGAGCATGGGTGGTGGGAGGAGCCAGCATGCTTCAATACATCACAGCACCCTATCTCAATACTCCTGTCAGGAGCTCTCAGTCCTGATGCAAGAAGTAGGCTGGCTTTTGGGAGGAGTTATAAAAAATATCCAAATACCTTGAAGTCAGCATTTCTAGGCTGACTGTATTTACATGCAGACTTCCCTAGGTAATGTCTATATGTAATGCTGAGCTCCCACGATTGAAAAGAATTGAAGTCCAATGAATGAAAGGGGTGGACCAGGGACAGTAAGGCTGGTGAGGAAAGAGTTAGATAGATGATACTAGACACCTTCCAGCTAGGAAATGAGACAGGCAATATATGATTCGCTGCAGCTGCTAGTGCACGTTAATACTCCAAAATCAGAGTATTCCATTTCAGTACAGGAGAGAAGCCCGTACAACTGTGCTAAACTCTGTGTAAGGCTGGAGATCAGCTTTAAAAAAAAAAAAATGACAAAAAAAGTTTTGTCCTTTATAACTATAGTAACACTAGCTGTTTCAAAAGTACGGTAAAACTGGTCATTATATAAAATCAAATAATTTTTGAAAGACAGTGGGGGGAATTTACCAATACTAGAGCAGACAAAATCTGGAGCAGTTGCCCATGGCAACTCTCTTCAGTCTGTTCCGTTAACAGTTGAAAAAGAAAGAGAGAAGCTGATTGATTGCCATGCACAGCTTTTCCAGTTTTTGTCTGCTCCAGTTTTGATAAATTCCCCTCATTGTCTCCTCATTGCTCTACCACCCACCCACAAAAAAATATATGTATCACTTCAGTATCATGAGTAATGTTATCAATAGGCCCATAGCTAAAATGTAAAAATTGCTCTGGTCCATAAAGGGTAAAAAGTTGCCAAAGTGGTTAAACTGTCGCTTAGTTATACTATAATCTTTGTCAATCACGACTGCATACTATATCATACTATTACTTTGATCATGTTTCCATTTCCTGCCGAAACTACTGAGAAGATTATCACCGTCAGACTCTACACCAATAGTTAAAGGAACTACCACCCTGTAGTTCTTTCAAAATAAAAACACCCAGCAGCTAATTAGAAGCCAGAAGTTACTCAGTGAACTTGGGAGGGGATAAATGTTCTTAAAACTCTACTAAGTCCACAGAATCTACTACATCAATCCATCTCTTTTAATACATGGCTGTGACTACTACATCGGTATGTTTCCTTCTACTCATTATTTAGATAGATGCATTTAAGTATTACTGACTACTGATATCTCTGTGTGTTAATTACACTGCCCGGACCACAAAAAAAAGTCACCACCTGATTTCGGACAGTGTTATGATCTGGGGTTGCTTCTGTTGATTTGGATCAGCAATGTTATGTCCCTAAAAAACTAGGTCAGCTGCCTACCTGAATATACTGAATGACCGGGCATTTCCATCAATGGATTTTTTTCTTCATATTCCAAGATGACAATGCCAGGATTCATCAGGCTCAAATTGGTAAAGAGTGGTTCAGCATTGCATTCATCGGAAGCCTGCCCCTCAGCGGGGCGGGCTTGGCGATGATCGCAAGTACGATCTGCCTGTCCAAGATAGGCAGATCGTACGTTTTTTTAATTACCTTACAACCATCGCAAGACAAAAGTCTTGCAATGGTTGTAAGGTGTATGGGCACCTTTAGACTTCACCAGACTGTATGCAAGATTTGTATCTGCTTGTGTGTCCAGCCACCTGGATTTGGGTGAGTCTCCCTCCAGTGGTGGTCAGCGGTATTGAAAGCTGTGATAACTGTTTCACAGCCCTGTTTTACAGTATCTCACAGAAGTGAGTACACCCCTCACATTTTTGTAAATGTACAGCTTGTATATCAGTGTACATTTGCTGTCCCCTCAAAATAACTCAACACACAGCCTTAAATGTTTAAACCGCTGGCAACAAAAGTGAGTACACCCCTAAGTGCTTGTTCACACCGAAAGCGTGTGCGTTCCAGAGCGGTAGCTGCTACAGGGGGCAGGATAAAGTAATGTGCAGAGTGCAGGAGAAAGTAATGTGCAGAGTACAGGGGGCAGGAGAAAGTAATGTGCAGAGTACAGGGGGCAGGAGAAAGTAATGTGCAGAGTACAGGGGGCAGGAGAAAGTAATGTGCAGAGTACAGGGGGCAGGAGAAAGTAATGTGCAGAGTACAGGGGGCAGGAGAAAGTAATGTGCAGAGTACAGGGGGCAGGAGAAAGTAATGTGCAGAGTACAGGGGGCAGGAGAAAGTAATGTGCAGAGTACAGGGGGCAGGAGAAAGTAATGTGCAGAGTACAGGGGGCAGGAGAAAGTAATGTGCAGAGTACAGGGGGCAGGAGAAAGTAATGTGCAGAGTACAGGGGGCAGGAGAAAGTAATGTGCATAATTCAGGGGGCAGCAAAAAGTAATGTGCAGAGTACAGGGGGCAGGAGAAAGTAATGTGCAGAATACAGGGGGCAGGAGAAAGTAATGTGCAGAGTACAGGGGGCAGGAGAAAGTAATGTGCAGAGTGTAGGGGGCAGGAGAAAGTAATGTGCAGAGTACATGGGGCAGGAGAAAGTAAGCCTCCCTCCAGGCAAAACTGCTCTCAGTACAAATATGATTACGTTCTGTTTTCTGTTTTTTTCTCCTTACAAAAATGTACAAAGAAAGGAACACAATCTGACGGGACACTTTTTTAATTCAAATGCTATTTTTATATGAGCCTAATTAAACTGCATTGTCAAATTCCCAGGTGATCCCTCTGAATTTACCTCTGCTAACTTTAGTTTTGGGCATTGGTGGCACCTTTCAATATGGTCTGCACATCTCCATCATCAACTCACCTTCAAATGTAAGTTTCCTTGATACAATATCAGTCTTGTGTTTGCAGAGGTTCTTTGCCATGTCAGAACAATGAAAGGTCTTGTCAAATTTTGTTTCATGATAGAAGGATTCCAGAATGAATAGAACAGTTTTTTTTATAATGAATGTACTGTACCATTTATATAATAAATGTATATTTTTATGCAATTCATTCAACATGCTCATTTAATTCTTTTTAGCACATTCAGAGATTCATCAACAACACGTGGGAGCAGAGATATGGGTCAGTCATCCATCCAGACAATGTCAGGCTGCTCTGGTCCATCATTGTGGCTATATACAGCATTGGAGGACTACTGGGGTCTCTTATAGTCGGACCACTTGCTGTGGCATTTGGAAGGTACTTGCTATTACCATTTGTGGCAAAGACTCATGTTGAAAGGTTTGAGACTTTAATGCCTGTCCTGACACTTCCCACTCTATATGAAATTGCTTAAAGATGCAATATTATATTCAACCTGTCACTATCTTTTAGGTTATTCCTGCTTTGCATTGCCTAGCAGTATAAATCATTATTTTCAATGAGTTTTTTCAATTATCGTCACTCAAACTTGCCTGAAAGAAATACATTAAAGGGAATGGAAGGTAGTTTTGAACACTTTTGGGGGAATTTATCAAAACTGGAGCAGACAGAATCTGTAGCAGTTACTTATATATAGTAACTTATAGTTACTTGTACTTATATATCCAATAGCAGGCTGGCTATTGACCCCAGCAATTAAGTAAAAAAAAATAAAAAAAGTTTAAAAAATAAAGTTAAATAAACTAAAATACAAAATACAAAAAAATGTAAAAAAAAGTTATATTAATAAAAAGTACAAAGGAAAAAAAAATAGTTAGATAAGCTAAAATTAAAAATATTTTTAAAAGTTAAAAAAAAAGAAGTAAATAAACTGAAATTAAAATTCCACACAATTTACGTACCCAGCCCCCGCAAACACACACATTTAAAAAAAAAAAACCACGGCAGACGGTATGGATGACGTGGCTGTGTTAGTGGAGCCACACACAGCCGTACAACTTTTTAAAAAAACAGCCTGTGGGGAGAAGAACCCTGCCATTCAGGTAAGGGGAGGGGGGGTTGCAATTTTACCATGTTACACCCTAGCAATGAGAAAATTTAGCTACCTGAAAGAAACAAGGCTTTTAAAACATTTTTTAACATACAGTATGTACTGATCTGGAAAGTTAAAGCTAGATCATCTCTTCCACATGTACAGACTGTAGTCTATATAACTGTAAAAGTCTAAGGTTTCCCTTTAGTTGTTCCTCTGATTAATGGAAAATATTCTCATTCTATAACAAACTCAGTTCGCTATATATGATATATGTTTTTCTCTTGTGCTGCCGGTTTTGATATTTAAAAAAAAAAGGGGCATGCAGTCTTCAAACTTATTTTATCTGTTGTAGAAAGAAAACTCAACTATATAATAATGTGGTTGCATTGGTGGGTGCTGCCTTCATGTGTACAAGCAGAACAGTCCAGTCATTTGAGATGATTATACTGGGACGATTTATTTATGGAATCAATGCAGGTATTAAAGATGAATCCTTACATTGTCAATGCATCTAAATATCTGCATAAATGTTGTAGTGTTTGTACCCTCACGTCCTGTTCTCCTAACATACTAGACAGGAGGTGCAGGGAACAGCATCACAGACAGAAATAAAAATGTTTTTCTTTAGTATTGTATAGGAAGGATATAACCCCTGTTTTATTTTTAATTCTGCTGTCTCTGTAGAAGATGTGATGTGAGGGTAAATCTCTCTAATGGAGACCCAGATAGTAATAAAAGCCTGACTTGTAAAGTTAGTTATGACTTATCAATAATGGGCTTGTCCTACAGTTTTTGTTAAGAATGTTCAGGTACCAGTTCAGATACCAAAGCCTATAATTGGCATTTTCACGAGAACTACCAGGGTTGTAGCGATTGCAACTGCGACAGGGCCCTGGCGCTCCACCACTATCCTGAAATCATTAGTCTGTATTGTTTTAGAAAAATTGTCACAAGACAATAAACAAAAATGTATCAGTAATTGGTATCTGTATTACTTGGACAAGTATGGGAAAAATGGTATCGGTGCATCCCTTATATATTGATATAAAACTAACCATACATTAAAACAAGGATGCACAACTTCCAGGAGCTCCGTATTCTCCTTGAAAAATGACAGCTGCCTACTAACTTTTGAGTTTTTCTCTAGTCTAGTCTTGGAGCTGGAAAAGTATCTGTACTTGTACCTGTACCAAGTACGGTACTTGGTGTCTGAACATCCCTAGTTTCTGGGGCTACCTGAGCACCTCTGTTGTTTGTGTGTTTCCTGACAATGTGTGACTGCATTCTCCAAAAATTACTATGGCATATTTCCCAGTGGGTTATTGACCACAGACGACAGAATCAAACACCGCGCCAGCAGATTTTGGTTCAAGAGAGTATTAATCAATGATGTTCAGGAGTGCAGGGCGATTGGGGGTGTTACACTCAGTGGAACACCCCCAATTGGTTCTGAGGAAGGAGGTGTGACCTCTGAAACGCGTAAACCACTTCACTACCAGGGAAGACGAACAGCCGGTGGATATGCACCTTTTGTTCTGACCCTTTTATGCCTGTTTTTATTCGTCCTTTGTGAGTACCTTTTATACCATTTTTTATTCGTTTATTTAACAAGTTTTTATGTGATGGAGGCGCTCTCTTTATCTTGTCTTGCGGTTATTGACCACACCTGATAGAAGTGTCAAAGAACTGTTCTTCTGGAGAACACAACATTTGTTTAAACGGTGCATTGATCAAATTACATGCAAAAAACATTGCCAACAGCAAACAATTACCATCATTGTTCAACTGGTCTGGCTTCACTAAAGTGAATTCTGGTTGGTTGCTACAGTTCACTGCACTTTGCTCCTTATGCTGGTTGCTGAATAGATCCGTGTGTAGAAAATGCTGCTAGTAAAAGCCCACGATCACAAAACCTCTGTGTTAATTTTGCTAAAATTTCAGAAAAGCAACTTTGCTCACCCCGCGCAGCCAGTAAGAAATAAAATAGATTGTCTAAGATATTGGAAAAAGACAATACAGTGTGATTGATTGCTAGGCTTTTACTGCACATTTGTGTTTTTTAGGGATCTTAGATGTGCTGCTTCTGGTAATGGGAAAGTTTTGGTGTACATCTTATGATGTTTATGTCGTTTCAGGTGTGAGTTTGAATCTTCATACAATGTACATTGGAGAGTGCGCCCCACAGAGTAAGCGTGGAATGGTCACAGTTTCTGTGTCTTTTGCCATTGCTTTTGGAAGAATGATGGGTTTCGTGGTAGGGCTCAGGTATTTTCTAAAGTTATACAGTATTAATTATTAAATGATCACTTTTATTGTTCTCTTTCTGGATTTCAAACACTACCCTCTCTGATTTCTGCATAATCAGTAAAATGTTACTTTAATGTAGGGAAATTTTGGGTACAGAGGAGTTGTGGCCCTACCTTCTGTCTGTCAGCGCTGTTCCTGCTCTTATTCAGTTGGTGACACTGCCATTTTTCCCAGAGTCCCCCAGATACCTTCTTATTGACAAAGGTGACAAAGATGGTTGCCTTAAAGGTAAGGAAATTGTTTGCTTTGCGGTTGCCTATCTCACTCTTGCACACCCCTGTTGATTATGAACATGCTGTATATTCCTAGCTATGCAGCAGCTGTGGGGTCCAGGAGAACACCGTGCAGAGATGGAAAGCATGTTGGCAGAGAAGAAAATGGTTGGGGAGCAGATCAAAGGTGTGAAAAATCTCCTGACAGATCGATCGGTGCGCTGGCAGATGATCTCTCTTCTTCTAATCTGTGGAGCCATGCAGCTTATCGGCATTAATGCAGTAATGCCCTTTTCTGCTTATTATATCTTTTGGATTGTGAAGTTAATATATGTAGCCAACATGCATTTAGCAAAAAATGCTTTGCCACAATGTAGAGGAATGGAGAGTTTGGTGTCCCTGGCCAACTTCTCATGGCAATGTGTCCATTAGAATTAACAGATTCAAATTGGCAAGTGCAAGTACCTCTAATTTCAATGCAAGTAAACAGTTAGTAAAGATACCTTAGTTTGTGATAGTCACGCCTTTATTAAAGTGTGCCTAAAGCCAAAACCTTTTTCCCGTCACTTTCTTTCCCAGTACCCATGGTGACCAGGACAAATACAGGGGGTGTATCCCCCAATGTAGGCACAGAGGCAGCAATAGAAACCTGACTGAGGTCCTACCCCTTTCCCGCTCCTTCGAAAACGAGAAAATATTTTTGGGCTTTAGAAATACTTTAAGACACAAGATCCTATAAAATATCTAACTATATAATCAAGTAAATGGTAGACATTATAATAGAGGTTTCTGAAGTTGATACTGGAATATTTCCCTCTGCTAGACTTGTGATTACTGGTCTGAACAATGCTGTTATGCAGTTTTGCCCAGATGTTTACATAACCCTGGCAGAATTTGAAGATGTGAACCATTTTTAAGAGAACATGAGCGGTCAGACCAAACACATTGAGGGAAATTTAATAAGACTGGAGCAGACAGTACTGTTTGCCTATATCTACTGCTTGGTAGCAGTAGATATAGGCAAGAAAACGGCAGGGTTTAGAACCCCTTTAACTGAACACGCTGAAGATAGAAACTCATTGGTTACTATGGGCAACTGCTCCAGATTCTATCTGCTCCAGTTTTAGTAACTTGCCCCCATTGTTTGTATTTTTAATGCTATTCATATTAAATTATTAGGCATCACAGAATAGCACAATCATTAAACACAAATGTGGCAATAAAAATGACATGATCCCATTCAAACGTTTGTGTACCTTCAGTTCTTAATATCATGTCCTGCCCCTTTATCATCAATGACAGCTTGCAGTCTTTTGTGGTGGTTGTGAATGAGGCCCTTCATTTTCTCAAGAGGTAAAGGTTCCCATTCTTCTTTGCAAAAAAAGACTCCAAGTCCTGTAAATGTTTTGCTTGCCTAGCATGAACTGTAAGTTTAGGATCTCAAAATGGGTCAATGATTGGGAAATGGGGTTTAGGAGATTGTGATTGCCACTTCATGGAGTACTCTCTGTGATAATTTTTTTTAATTTGCAGCAACAGTTACATTTTTGGGACACACTTTCTGTGCCTACCCCCTTCTTCTCAGGTCCAAGCAGCAAGTGGGACTTAAAAGAATGGGGTAGACCCTGAAAGCTTGTCCTGAAAATGTGACTGTAGGCATAAATAAAAATCATATCACAGACAGTACTCAAAGCGAAAAAGTGCACTAGTACAACTTCAATCACCTTAAGCATGATGACCACTTGCTTATTTTTTTTGCAGCAGCAGCAGCGACTGAAAGGTTTACTTGGCTTTATGTATTGGATCATTGTCATGTTAAAATGCCCTTGTGCTCCCTATGCACAATTTGTCGGCTGAGTGGGAGTGGTATAGAGGAAGACTGACTTTATACATTTTCCAAATCGCATAAAAACATTTGCTCTGTGGCACCCCTGAGCTGTTTGCTGTGAGATAATACTTGTTTTCCTAATTACAGGTGTACTTTTATGCATACGATGTCTTCAGGAATGCTGGCATTCCACCCAAGGAAGTGCCATATGTCTCACTTGGTATCGGAATTATAGAAATTCTTACAACAGTGCTCTGTGTAAGTCAGTCCATTTGTTTTCCATTTGTCTCTTATTGTCAACATCAATGCTGCAAAACATGCATACGATGCTAGTAAACATATGGTGACCTCAGATTTTTTTTTTTTTTTTAGTTTCCCTATTGATATGTGCATGTTTTATGTAAAAATAGGGGATTTCCTCCCTTTAGAGGCTTTATTGGTCAGATCTCCTCACCATAGTTCCTGGCTCTGTGACTACCATCCTGGGAGTTTTGGATGTACCCACTCCTCCTATTGAGCGCCCCACCTTCATAATGGCCATCCCAAAGTTCCCAAGAAATTTGAGAAGCCAGCTGAACTCACCAGCATCTCCCAAAAACTGAAATATCACTTTTAGTTGACCAAATACTTAAATCAGAAAACAGTGGTATAGCAATGGTCCATAATAGGATTGGGCTCGATGTTCGAGTCAAGCAAGAGTTCGCCGAACACACGAACTGTCAGGGAATTCGGCGGGCTATTTGCTCCACAAGCACCACACAAGGCACTGTTTACAGCACTGTGCCTTGTTAGCCCTGATTGGCTAAAGCCTTGCACCTGACCTGTGGTGTGCAAGACTTTGCCCAGTCAGTGCACAGTACTCTGTAAGAGCCATGATCGGGCAAAGTCATGATGACTTTGTCCAATCATGGCTCACCTATCAGATGCTGTACAACTGTAAACAGTTGGGCGGAGCTAGCTAGCTGTCAGCGCTAGCTCCGTCCAATAGTTAATATTTTGCCGGCATCTATCAGAATGCCATTCTGCGGTGGGAGATCGTCGCTAGCATCGTTTTTTTTTTTTCTTTACATTTCTATTTTTTATTTTGCTGAGTCATCGTTGACAACGATGGACATCGTGATTGACCCTGGATTACGTCGGTGGATCCATATTTTTTATTTTTTTATTAAAAGACTTGTCAAAAACATGTCTTTTGGGGGGTTTTTTTCAAAGGATTTTTACAAGTCTGGCCTCTTTTTAAAAACTTTTATTTAACCCTTTCGTGAATGGGTATGGGTACAAGTACCCCTTACTCATTCACAAGCAGGGCCGCATCTAGCTGCCCTTTAATAAAGGGGGTACCCTGATGTGAATAAGCCCCCTGCCGCAACCCCCACAACCAACGCCCCAGGGCTTGTGGGGAAAAGGCCCTTGTCCCCATCGGCACGGGGACAAGGTGGTTTTCTAAGGGCAACCCTGTCCCCCATTTTTGGAGTTGGGCTTCCTCCAAAAAATTCCTACCAGACCTTAAGGGCCTGTTATGATTTTATGACTTCTTGTTGCAAGGGGGAACCCCATGCACTTTTTTTTTCTTTTTACATAAGGGTCCCTCCTAAAATTCCTACCAGAGCTTATGCGTCTGGTATGACTTTTGGGGGGAACCCCACGCTTTTTTTAAAAAAATGGGGTCCCTCCTAACATTCCTACCAGATGAAGAGGGTCTGGTATTGTTTCGGAGGGGGGACCGCACGCTTTTTTTTTTCTTTCTTTTTAGATGTCGTTTTTTTTTTTTTACTTTACAGGCAGTTTAAGGGGACCCCCCAGGCACCATATTTAAAGGAATTTTTCATTTTTATTGTTTCACTTTAAGTGATGTTAAAATCACTGCTCCTTTAAAAAAAAAAAAATTTAAAAAGTGTTTTTTTTTTATTGATACCCGGATCCCCATACACTTTTTATGGCCAATAACTTGCATATAAGCTTTCAAAATGGGGACAATTGATTTTCAAAGTTCTAGCCCCATAGACTTGAATTGAGTTTGAGTTCGAATTCAAACTTTTTCCCATCACTAGTCCACAATATATTGAACAAAATGTGATTATTGTATAAAATAATGGTCCTTTCGCACACCGGTATCTCCATATTCTGCTGCCAGCAAAACACAGCGTGCTCAGTGAAAGTTCTTCAATTAGTCACTGTATCTTAGGTACACTGTGAGCGACTTTTTTATCTTTTCCTCTGTTGCTGGCTCTTTGCAGGGCTTTCTCATTGATTACCTGGGCAGGAAATCTCTTTTGTGGGTGAACTATTCCATTATGGCCCTGACTCTAACATTACTTACTGTTACTCTCTTTCTCCAGGTAAGGACCACACCGATGTCACTGCAATTCTAATTTCCTGTAATGTTTCTACAAAGCACTATTATTCCATGTGATTATGATAAAGAGAAATATAACCTGTAAGCTTTAGCGCCATTGGTGGCTTTGTTGAAATTGAAGCTGATTTCATGCTTGTTTTAGCCTGAATCACACAGAAATACAAAATTCCCAGAATACCTCTTTAGTAATATATCACTACCATACTGCATGGCTAAACTCTATTCCAGCTACTGCTTGACAAGTATATATTATTGCACTGAGAAAAACCTAACAAAAAAAAATTTATCTGGGCTCTTGTCATGTTGAATATACAGTATATACTTTTGGGGGTCATCAGTGTCAACAATTATTTTTTAATTATTTATAAAACAAGTACCTTCTTACTTCTTAGTTTACCAGGTTGATTTTGTTTCCAATTGCGCATGACCAAAGTCTACACCTAGGTCACAATGTGTATTCATAGAACTACAATTCCAGAACTTGATGTAATCAAGCCAACAAACCCATTAATTGTAAATTGAGCAGAGAACATATTTCATACACTAGACTCACAGTCTGATTGTGTTTTCCCATAGGGCTTAAATACTTGGCTTCCATACGCTTCTTGTGTACTCATCTTTATCTTCACCTTGAGCTATGGCATTGGACCTAGTCAGTATTCTTTGGAATGTATCACTGTTCAGCAAGTACTGTTTTTATGTCATTTCTCTTGAATGATGACTGTGTTCAAAATTTGGCAAATATGAATATTTGTCTTGTACTGGATAATGAAGCATTGCAGATTAATCCAGTTCCCAAGACGGCACAAAATCATCATAATGACCCATGACTCATCTCCATTTTTATTCCCCTTCAGAGACCTATAATTCTAAAGCTGTAACTAAGACTTCATGTACACAAGCATCTGGGAACTGTCTGAGCCTGGAAAGCTTTCCCCTATGAGTCTGGATTTCTGTTTTAACGTGCATATTTAACACATTTTAAAGGAGAACTATGGAGTTAAGTCTTTTCCCCATAGTTCTCCTTAGGGTAATGGGAGGACACAAACTAGCGTCCTCCCATTAGACATGTGCGATTCTTTTCGTTACGAATCGAAATTCGTTCGAATTTCCTGAAATTCAGGAGCATCCGAAATCCGAATTGCAGTTTCCGAATTATATCCGAAATACGAAATTCCGTTAACGAATTTCGGATCCAAATTTCGTTGAAACGGGAACTAATATTACCCCTGTAAATGAGGTTGAACAACATGACCAGATTTTTTTTTATCCGAAATACGAAATTCGGATCCGCTGCTGCTGAGGGTTGCATTACAATACAGGCAGGAAATACGAAACTCCGTTAACGGATTTTAGTTCCGTTACGAACATTCGTTATGAAGTTAAAAAGCAAAATACCTTTGTTAATATTGGAGTTGATGCCTTGATGGTAGTTTTTTTTTTAATACCAAATTCGGATCCGAAATCCGTTTACGGAATTTCGTATTTCGTTTGGTTGACCAATCAGAGGTTTTCTCTTCTGCTGCTGAGAGTTGCATTACAATACAGGCAGGAAATACGAAATTCCGTTAACGTATTTTCGTTCCGTTACGAAGTTAAAAAGCAAAAATACCGTTAACGGAATTTCGTATTTCGGGTAAAAAAAAAAACTACCATCGACTCCAATATTAACAAAGGTATTTTTGCTTTTTAACTTCATCATAACAAATGTTCGTAAAGTTACGAAAATGTGACGAAACTAACGAACATTTGTATTTCGTACGAATCCGAATTGAGTTTCGGACACGAATTACGAAATAACGGATTTTCCTAAACAAATTTTCTGACGGCGCACAAGTCTACCTCCCGTCACCCTAGGCTCAGTATACCGCGAGCTGTAGCTCGCGGCATACTGAGATGCCGCAGTATACCGCGAGCAGCTGCTCGCGGTATACTGAGACGTCTCAGCTGAAGCGGATCCCGACAATTGTGCCGGGATCCGCCCAGCTGCGTGACTGACAGCTGGCTCTGCCTATCCAACGGCAGAGCCAGCTGTACCCGCTCCCTCCCCTGTCCGTTCCGCCAGTTAGCGCTGGCGGATCGGAGCAGGGAGGGGGGAATCCAGCCCCTCCCCTGTCACGGCAGAGAGCCGTAACAGTTTTGAGAGGTGAGCGAACGCCGGTAACTGTTCGCTCACCTCCCGATCTACTGAGCCGACCTGTGACAGTCTCATTGTCACAGGTTGGCTAGAACTATGAGGTGAGTGGAAATCACTCATCTCATAGTTCTCCTTTAAGGCATTTTGCTGTATTGGATTTTTTCTTGCATTTTAGATTGTGTTTTGGTTTGGTTGCATTTTACAGAAAACAAAGAATAGTTCATTTCATACTATGTGCAGTGACCTACTTTTTTCAACGCACCACTAAGGCACACAGAAAGCTATTTTTTTCTGTGTGCCCTGTTCACACTGCAACACTGAATTTGAAGTGGGTTGCAGTGCAGACATGCTGCATTTTTCTGCAATGCACCCAGCACTTACTTAAAGTCACTGCCAGTCACTGCAATGCAACTCAGCTATATTCTTCAATTAGTTTAAAAATAAGAAAAATTTAAACAGTGTGATGAGATTAAAAAGCGCAAAGCAGCATTCCCTGTTGTCCGTACACAGTGATCACTAGCCCCCACAGGAAAACACTGCTGACTATTGTGAACCTTACGGTTTGTTTAGATGGGCATATACAGGGTGCTTTCAGATACATCTTACTTGCATTTGAGATCTTGAAACACTTCTGAGTGCCATTAAATATATTTGCTCCTTCTCATCTGCATTTGACCTGCTTCTAAGTTTCATCAAGCTGTTTTTGCATTCCCATTGATTGTGTTCCCATTGATTGTGTTCTACCAGGAATAAAAGCCTGTGTATAATTGTCCAAAGAGTGAAACCATTTTAGCATGCAATCTGTATCAGTAGCACCACACTTGTCCTGCACTTCTGCACTACACATTGGTTTATGCAATAATCTGACCATGCCAGGAAATAGCTGAGAAGCTGAAACATCATAAGTCAAAATGTAACCTTTGTCTGCAGGAAAATGACCCTTCTTGGTTTTGTGAATATCTGTACTATGTTCCTGTATTGTCAATGCCTATTCCTGTCTTTTCTCCCTATATAGGTGGAGTAAGTTGCGTACTGCCCACAGAGCTGTTTGTCCATTCATACAGGCCAGCTGCCTATGCCTTATCTGGAGGAATGCTTTGGCTGGGACTATTTGTGATAGGCCTGGCATTCCCCTTCATTGAGGTATAATTTACTTCACAGTTTTCTGAAACAATTACCTTAAAGGTCACTCTATAAACTTAGGGAAGAACTCTGGGCATATTAAAAATTAACCCTTGCAATGGGGCGACCCCCCACACTGCAACAATTAAGTGCTCGTCCATGCTGTGGACCACTATGAATAATGGTCAATATGTGTTTAATGTAATCAATCCACACCATATGGTATACTGTTTTTTCTCCACCACACCTCAGCAGGACATTAATACAGAGAGACAAAAGGCATCCATAGTGTAAGACTGCAAAAGAGCAATCAATTAAACAATACGGATTAAACTCACAGTGAAAAGTGTTGTAATAGCACCACAATAATATGCTCAATGAAAACAAAAATACTCCACTTTAACATTATCTTCAGTTCAGCATATAATACAAATTATCAAGTTGCCCAAACGTACTGCAAAAATAAAATTCATCAAATTTGTGCTACCCTTGAAGTGAATGGACTCATTAGATATAATAGACCACTACAGTTATTGATCAAATAACACCTGATGGGATCATTTTCCGACTTTTTTCTCTAATGGACTTTCTCTCATCTGATGGACTTTCTGTCCAGGGTTGCCCTGCTGCTCAAGCTGACAAACCCTACTATATCGAAAAAAATCATCTGGCATTTTACCGCATGTAGCCTGTGTCTGATGCTTGTATCCCCCCATCACTCCCTTCTAACAGTCCCAACATTACTACTGTGTCTTGCATAGACCAGAAGGCTGAACAACACTTACACAAATGTTTAATATCTCATTTCTGTGCAGCATAATTGGGAATTTTATATTTGGACATTCACATAATGACTCAACGGTAATATTCATTTGTCGTTTTGAGAGTATTTTTTAGTATAATCTGATATGCCCAATGTAATTCTATACATTTTTCCGCAGGAGGCATTGGGGCCTTTTTGCTTCATCTTCTTCCTTGTCTACTGCGCCTCTCTAGCTTTGTATACCTTTTGGATCTTTCCAGAGACCAAAGACCAAAGTATGATGGAAATTCTTGAAACTTTCAATGCGCTTAACTCTAAAGGAGATAAGGAATGCAAATATGTCTGTACCAGGTTTTAGATCTGAGATTTTGTATAGCAACTGAAAATATACACTGAATAATAAAGAAAGCATGATTGGAGTAAGTGTGCAATAATGGAACTGCTGATCACAGTGAATGTGTCCAAAACATTATATGCTTGTTATATGTAGCAGGATTCCCAGAGCACAATGTATTTTTTCAATCAATATATTTTTGCTGAAACATTTTAAGGGTTCAAAGGTATAAACTGCACATTAGAAAGGTCAAGGTGATACACAAAAGGCAAAACTAGAGATCGAACAGTGGCAGCCATACAGGCCAGTAGAGGATAAAATACAGTGTGCTTAGTTCAATTAGAGGCTTAGCTTTGCATTTAAGGGTGTTTCATCCAGGCTTATTTAGAAGAAACATCTCCTTCAGGATTCCCCACGCAGGGGTTTCAGCCCACTTTTTCTGTGTCCTGGCTGTATTGGTCCACTCAGACCCTCTAGTCTGTCATCACACAGACAATCACACACCAATAGAGTGTGTATACTTGGTGCTCTTTCAGTCTCCTGGGAGACACATTACAGTTAACTCACACACAAAAGGACCTGTGCACAGCTGCACAATCATGAAAAATGAGGACCTAGGATTGGAGGCTTTATCCCACCCAAAGCTCTACCAGGCCTCTGATCTCCAGGACCCAAATCACATCTTACCAAGCAAAAATCCTGGAGCCTCTCACCCTGAGTGGGTAAGAAGCCCTAGGTGACACAAATCGTCATATCATCCACAACCCTGCCAGCCAGTCCCATATGTAATCAGGGACTCCCCGCATGCCAAATTGTGTTCATACTGCACTTTCTCACAGTGAAAATGTCACATTAGATAGAGGATGGAAGCGTGTTAAAATCTGGTTAATAAGACAGAAAAGGTAGAAAAGCAAAATATTATATAGGACTTGCCATTGTCCATGCTATCACAAGGGAAAAGGTGAACTTGTAACAAAGAATCAAAATCACAACTTGGCTAGCCCTAAACCTCTTATATCAGCCAAATATGGAACCTTTGATAGCTTGGCTAAAAGTCATAATGAACAACAGTCAGCTACTGTATGTGAGAGAAATAAAAATAAAAGAGCAAAGAAAGAAGAAAGATGAAGGGAAAGGGAAAAAGAAAAGTGGTTGAACGTTCGGAATGGGATGGGGTGTTTCAGGGTAGGTTCAATGGGCGATGCCATCAAATGCTCTGAAAGCACAAGCATATCAATATGTTCAACTCATGTTATGAGTAATAAATGGTTCACTAGAAACAATATATTTTCTGCTTTACCTGTGCAGTGTGTTAGGGGGGAGCGAAGTTCCCCTGTTTGCTGGAGTGGACCCCAATAGCAGGCAACAACACCAGAAGGAGAGTCCAGGCTGAGGTACAAGATAGGATGGTCCAAAATACGTTGTCAGAGTACAGTCCCGGTCGAGGCAGGCAGCAAGTTTCATATACGGGGAGACAAGCCAGAAGTCGATAACCAGGAGATCCAAAATAGCTGGGCAGGAAACAGGAAATGAGGCTTCGTAGCTGCTTTGGGTATGGCAGAATAACTCAGCAACAAGTCTGGGCTCTGGCTGAGATTTAAACCCAGCAGGAACCAGAAACGCCCCCGTAGTCTGGGCAACGAGGAAGCTACAGGTCCCTGGGATCCACTGGGACGGCTAGGGGAGAAGGTGTCCTTACAAGGCCCTCCCTGGCAATGATCAACACCTGAGGTGACTGATAGGCCACGGCAATGTCACGTGTGCATGTACGCACGCATGCGTACACCTGCAACCAGCCACCGACGGGCACCAAATCACTCCAAGAAGGACCCTACAATCTCCGCCGTGCCCGCCGGACCCCAGGTAAGAGGGCACCCCTGGTCCCACGAAACAGTGGTAGGTTTGGAAGACCACTATGCTTTGGCTGCAATGAACAGACATGTCAGCCAGCAACACTATTGATTTTCTAGAGACTAGTTTTCTGCTTTCAGGAATGCTGTATTATTATTATTGGTATTTATATAGCACCGACAATTTACGCAGCGCTTTACATGGCTAAAGCCTGTGGTCAGGTGCAAGACTTTGCCCATGCAGGGTCCAGTACTCTATAAGAGCCAGTACTCTGTAAGAGCCATGTAAGAGCCATGATTGGGCAAAGTCATGATGACTTTGCCCAATCATGGTTCCCCTATTACAACTGTAAACAGTTGGGCGGAGCTAGCTGTCACTGCTAGCTCCGCCCAATTGTTTATATGTTGCTAGCATCTGTCAAAATGCCATTCTGCAGGGGGTGTTCGTCGCAAGCGGACAGGACGGGTCTTCGTTTTTAAAAAAATTATTATTATAATTATTTCTATTTGTTTTTTATTGTTGTATTTTTTATTTCATCGAGTCATCGTCATCATGGTCATGGACAACGCTGGACGACTTGATTGACGATGGATTATGTTGGTGGATCCATTATTTTGGGGTTTGTTTTATTTGAAATAAAAGACTTGTCAAAAACTTTTTTACAATTCTATTTAACCCTTTAGTGAATGGGTAGGGGTACAAGTTCCCCTTACTCATTCACAAGGGGGGGCGGCTGCCTCTGGGTGCCCCTTTATTAAAGGGGTACCCCCACAACAAACGCCCCAGGGCTTGTGGGGAAGAGGCCCTTGTCCCCATCGGCACGAGGACAAGGTGCTTTTCCAGGGGCAACCCTGGAAAAGCACCCTCCCAGTGCTGAGGGCATGTGGCCTGGTATGGGAGGGAAGGGTGAAGGCGCTCACTCGTCCCCCCCCCCCTTTCCTTCCCTGTCAGGCCTGCTCAGATCAAGGGTCTGGTATGGAATTTGGGGGGGACCCCACGGTCCCCCCCCCCCCAATTTTTGGGGGTGGAGTTCCTACTTTAAATTTCTAGCCTTGTAACTGTAACTTTCAATCATCATTATATTCAGTTGAAAGTAACTGTCACTTTTTTTCAAATGAAATATTCTTTTTTTGGTGTGTTAGCTTTGTGAATTTAGCCTATTGTGATCCTACAATGCCGGAATAGGCAAAGGTACAAAATTCAGAGCACAGAAACTCTGGTCCTCAAAGGTGCCAAACAAACATTGGCTCTGATGTATTAGTGCAAATCAAATGTGTTTGTTTAACAAGCAGCAAAGGTCATACTTTATAAAAATGTATGTCGTTCCCTCCATGTGTATATTATATCAGGTAATGTTGTATACAAATGTCTGATTTTGAACACAATGATTTATCCTGTCTTACCTCCAGACCGGTCTTTCTCTTTGGTCTTTTCTTCTATAAATGCATCTAAACAGAAGAGAAGAAGTTGTTTAGGTCACTTATAAATGAAGACCATCACTAAGAAATACAAAGTATCTTTGTCTTATATTTTAACCCTATTGTATATGCCTGTTTATGGGCATTGTGTTAGGTAACCAAGAAACCAGACAAAATTAAAGTGCAGATTTAAGATATAAAAGGAGTTTGTTGAAAACTACAATAAACATAAAGGCAAAAACAATGGCACAGGACGTCGTCAGTACCAAGCCAGAGGTCAGATGCCAAAGCGGCTAGTCAGCCCAACCAGGTCAGGGAATATTAAGAGCAGGATGAACGGAGGCAAAGCTAGAGTCAAGAACCAGCAGATCAGTTAGCCAGAGTCAGGGTCATACACAGAGAACAGGAACAACTGCAGAGCACTTGGTAGATGAGAACACACATAAGGGTGGAGACTGAATGGACAAGCTGATGGGTAAATAGTGAGCTGGTGTTTGCATCATCACTCTGAGACAGAACTTTTCCAGTAGTTGCGGAACGATGATGTTAACTGGCTTGATCATAAAAGGGCTCCAAAGAGGAACAGATATGTCAGAAACACTGCACAAGCCACTGGAGAAGGAAGGTTAAAAAACCCTGACACATGGTCATTTTGCCATTACCAATCAAGTATATGTGCTGTTAAAAAATGTCTCTTGGTTTTGCCTACATCCTCCCTCTTCTCATTTTTCTAAAAAGCAATAAGACACATATTGTATATGTACACATACAACACATTAATTTCTGACAACCAATCAGATTTCAGGCCTCTGAATTCAGATTCATAAATAATACATTCTGGTTAGTTTATATGGGTCACTGCACTGCCGAATTAAAAAAGCCTGAAAGTATGAATGTGTCCTTGATATAAATTTAAATGTATGTAAAGACAAATCTTTTTTTGTTTTGAATAGAGTAAAGAAGTGTTAAACCCCTGTCTGGTTTTATTGCTGTTTGTGTTCTCACTGGGGACAACCACTATTTCTATTTGCCCTTGTGACCATTGTTTCAGTGACAACTGTCAAAGAGGAGATTTCCCCTCAAATTTCTCTTTCTTCCTATTGTGTCTCAAGGACAAGAAATGGAAGAAATGGGACACAGACAGCAAAAAAAAAAAAAGGTGTAACCATTCCCTACAGTACTAATGTATCAAGAATTTAAAAAAAGTTTGCTTTAGATATACATTTTTAATCTTGATTTATTAATATCTTAATATCCCTTCTATTATTAAATCATATAAATAAATTAGCAAACATTTTATGTTTTAAAAACTGGTATAAAACATGAAATAAATATGAAGAAATGAAGAATGAAAGTCAACTGTCACCTGCGTTTTTTTTTTTTTAATCATCAATTTAAAAGACAAACCGTGACATCATATTTAAGGAAATGTTGGAACAATAATACAATTCAGTAATGTTTAAGGCTCCATTCACACCTACACAAGTTTTTGCACGCATATTATGCGTGTGCATTAAGTCATGCATTTTTGCAAGCAGATTGTAGCACATTGGCGTAAATGGGCAAACACGCGTAATACGTAAAAACGCACGAACAAATTGCAATGCGCATTTCAAAGCGTTTCCTATTGAGTCTACAAAACGAGCTGTAATCTGACAAAAAGAAGCTCATATACTTTTTGCAGCAACTAAACTAAAAATAGATATGAAGAAATGAAGAATGAAAGTCAACTGTCACCTGCGTTTTTTTTTTTTTAATCATCAATTTA